AGCTAAGGAACCGTGTTCCACAGGTGTTTTCTCAGATTTGCTCGTATCTTTCCTTTCAGACTGTTTTAGGAAAATCTGGTCTGGTGTGCGGATATGAGGGAATTGAGAGAAATCACCTGGGTCTTTTTCCTGTGATTTTTCACTTTCCTGTTGATTTTCATCTAACTGTATCTGTATCTGCTGCACATAATTATCCATCATGTTACTCATTCCTTCCAGTCTATTTGAAAGATCAGAGTTTTCAGCCTGAAGGACATCATATTTAGTAGACAAAGTTTTGAACTCACTTTGTTCAAACATCAGCCTTTTGTGACATTCGTCCAATCTAAGTTCTATCTCATTATGCTTTGTTAGCATAACTGTATAACCCAATATAAAAAATACACACAAGTCGATAATGGACAGTATCATAGATTCTTTGTCTATGTTGCTAAGATGTTTAAATAGAGGTGCATTATTCGATCTATCCTAAGTCAAAATATGAACTTGTTCTCTAATTTGGAGTACTCAATCTTTATAAGCCATTTTAATTTGTAGATTATATAAAATGCTTAAAGGAGCAAATTGCAGATCTAATAATCTCTTCTCACTATCTGATTGAGATGATGTGCTGGATTTGGCCATATTTCTATACACTGAATTAATCTCAATACAAAACTCTTTTATAATAATCTGTGAATATTTGGTCTAACATAAGTATCCCATATGGCAGTGGTTTAACACAATTGATAGTTCAATATAATGACAGTTATATTGACATGTATGTGGTTTTCAACAAGATTTACAAGACACTTCACTTTGAAATAAGGTTAACACAGAACGCAGCATCTCACAGCAGCACAGCGTAAAGCAATAAAAACATTGGCTGACAGTCAAATCACACTGAATTAACTCATCCACTGCTGGCTGCAATTCTCATAGGCAAGATATCCTTTTATATTGCAATTTTACAAATACAATATTTCTCATACTAGATTATTTGACCATTCCTATGTCCATCCAATAAGAATCATTCTAACCAGATTTTATGTTTGCAGAATTTTAACTTTCCTGATCAAGATTCACTATTTCTAAATTACATAAGCTAATATATCTGAATAATTGCCTGGTATTCTATTTTTAAAGTTAAAAGTAATATAGAGTTCATTGGTCCACCTGCAGGAATGGAATTACGAATTCTATATATTATTAACGAATCACGACTCCTTAATGTTGGAATCCCCAGCTTTTATCCAAGTATATTCTGCCTTTTAGTAAAATCAATTAATTTAATAAAACCAGTATAATTACCAGCTCTTGGCAGAAATTCTTATTAGATTTGAAGATACGTCCCTGAGTCTGAGTGTCTGAGTGTGAGAGTGTCCCCCTCTCTCTTTTGTCCTTAATTTTTAAAGGAGAAGTTCTCTATACGTCACTAGGTGATAGTGACCAATAGCGTAAGGCTGGTGTGTCTTCCCTACAGACTATCATCTATATTTCAGTAGATGGCGCAATTACATCACAGAAAAGTTTTGTCAGGGGGTCCATTTACCTTTTTGTATAATGGGTTAACTGAATTGCGTGATGCGTTTGACGTCATCTTGGTTATCTTTTATGATACCTATTCGTCAAAGACATGTCAATCTTAAAAGGTTTTGGTTTACTTTTAGCCAGACTTGTGTCTGCATTTTCGCCATTAAATTAGATTCCGGACACGTCCTAAACTCTTCTTCACCTCTCTATACAATGGAACGTTGTAAGATTATTATAAGGAAACCTAGGATATCCAATCCTCATTCGGTAGTTTCCCCCCGAACCGCTAGAGCAGGGGTCTGCAACCTTTAAGACAAAAAGAGCCACTTGGACCCGTTTCCGAAGAAAAAAAAAAACAGGGAGCCGCAAAACCATTGCGACATTTAAAACAAATATAACACTGCATATATTGTTTCTTACCTTAATGCTATATATACAGGATCATGCAGTCAGCTGTCAATCTGAAGAAAAAAAGGACTTTCACTTAACAATGTAAAATATATTTTTGCAAATTAATAGCTAATTAAAATATTTAATTTACCTGGTTAATGGGACTTTTGCTCCTGAACCTCAGTGCTCAGTGTCTGCACATCAGGGCTGTAAGACGTCACCTTCATTTTCACACAGGCTTGCAAGCTGTCATCTGTGAGGCGTGATCGATGTTTGTTTTTAATATAGTTCATGTTGGAGAAGACCTGCTCACATACATATGTGGAACCGAAGATCGACAGGACTCCAAATGCATACTTTTTCATGTTTATATAAGTGTTGGGGATGGCATTCCATGTTTCGAATACAAGTTTGTCCTGTTTGGGAAGGTTTTCAATATCACTCCATTTATGATTCTGAGCCAGAATGGCCTTCTGACGGGCAACATCCTCAAGAGTAGCGGTCAAGTATTTGAACTTGGACACCCATATATCTTTGTCGGCTATATCGGCCAGTTCCATCTGCAAATGCAGTCATATTCAATAGGGATGGATCGATCGCCAGGGGAGTGACAGGGAAGGATAATGTGTTTTTTTCCTCTCTGAACTCACAGAATCGTTTCCTAAACGAGCTTTGCATTGCGGTGATTGCAGACTTGAAATATTCCAAATTTATCGTATCATGACTTTGTTTGAACTCTCTCGAAGAGGGAAAGTGAGACAGTGTACCTCTCTGGAAATCTTTGACAAACACTGTCAACTTGCGCTCGAATGCCAAAACCTCCTCCAGCATGTGCAGGGCTGTGCCTCCTTTCCCCTGAAGGGTTGTATTTAGCGTGTTTAGATGGGCTGTCATGTCTACCATAAAATGTAATTTTTCCAGCCATTCTGGCTGTTCCAGCTCAGCAAAGGTGAGCTCTTTGCTGGCCAGGAAGGTTTTTACTTCTTCCAAACATGTGACAAAGCGTTTTAGCACCTCGCCTCTGGACAGCCACCGGACCTTGTTGTGGAGCAGGAGGTCAGAATATGTGCTTTCCACCTCATCCAATAGCAAACGAAACTGGTGTTGATTTAAACCCTTTGCCATTATCTTATTAACAATCTGAATGACCACATCCATCACTTTTGTGCATTCGGGGGGAAATGTTTGAGCACACAATGCCTCTTGGTGCAGGATGCAATGAAATGACAGCAGCGTTCTACCCAGCGCCTTCTGCAGTAGAGCCACAAAGCCCTTCTGTGCTCCTCTCATGCTCGGTGCCCCATCAGTAGCCACTGAGACAAGGTGGTTGGTGTTTATTTCTTTAGCACTTAAAAAGTCCAGGACAGCCTTACAGATATCCTCACCCCTTGTTTGGTATTTTAGTGGTATCAGCTCAATCAGTTCTTCCTGTGGCCCCAAAGAGTTCACATATCGGCAGAACAGCGCTATTTGTTCAATATCACCTTTATCTTTGGACTCATCACAGGCGATGGAGTACGCCACAGCTGAATTAATGTCTTGAATTTGCTGTTTGCTAATGTTTTCTGCCATTTTTAGGGTTCTGTCTTTAACAGTCTTCGCAGAGAGAGGCATGTCTTTGATTTTCTGCACAATTTCATTCTTGTTTTTGAAGTCCATATATAGATGTTCCGAAATCTTAATGAATGCTTCTTTTATATACTCTCCATCTGTGAACGGCTTCCCGTGCTTGACTATTTCCTGAGCGGCTACAAAACTAGCATATGTTGTGGAATTTGCAGACTTCACCCACTTCTTGAAATTATTTTTGCTCCTATCAACCTTCCTCATAAGTTCTGCAACGGCTTTTCGTCTCTCATCTCCATCTGGATATTTTTCAGCAAAGGCTGTGTGTTTATTCTGGAAATGTCTTGCAATATTCGACTTTTTGTTGTTTGCAAATTTCTCACCACATATTAAGCATACTGGTAAACCAGTCTTGTCAGTAGAGAATGCAAATGATTCTGTCCATGTATCATTAAACACTCTGTTTTCTTCAGAAATTTTTCTTTTCTTGCCTTTATCCATGGCTGGCCTACCAGGGGGTCCAAAACAGGGACGTAATTAGAAATCAGAAGGCCCCATAGCAAAATTTGCTATGCCCAATAATCAATGCCCCAAAATGCCATAGAAAATTAATCAGGGCCCCAGTGTACCATAAATCATAATCAGTGCCTGATGTAAATAATAATTAATAATGAGGGCCCAATGTCATCCTCGTCATTATAAAAATAACTTTTTTGTCACTTTTTTTTCCTTCTGATTGCTTAAAAAGATGACAACAAAGTATTAGTAACCCAGCTACTAAGGATTATGGCTGTGCTATGCTCAGTTACCCTTTATGTATTATGGTCACAATTGTCCACAAAAGCTGGTTATGCGTAACACATTTAATTTCATTATTATGACTGATCATACAGTTTACTACAGCAGATTTCAAGTAGTATCTATTAACAAGTATCAATACAGCTACATAATAAATGACCATTAGGTAGACCTGCAGTTGTTGTATAATAACTACAACTCTCATTATGCTCTACAAGCCTTATGCAAAGCATAATTGGGGGTTGCAGTTCTACAACAGGTGGGGTTTTGGCCACCCTGAAGCTAGCTCGTTATCACAGGTTTACAGGAAACAGATTGTAAGACAGGGATATTAAACTCCAGTCCCGAAAGGCCATAAACACAACGGGATTTCAGAATATCACCTTGCACATTGCTGAGTTATGCATGGTGTTAATTGTTTTGATTACATGTTAATTAGAAAAATCCTATACCTCTGGCAGGATTGGGGCCCCAAAGGACCTAACTTGACGCCCCTATTGTAAGGGTTCCTGTTACGCATTTGGATCTAAAATACTGATTAATGTGCCCCAGTGGATGTTATTTTAGTGGAAAAGTTTCCAGATAACTGAATTGTAAAAAAAATAAAAAATATTTGATGATTTCTCTTTCAGTGTACCTACTTTTAGTTCAATTAAATGTCAGTTGGCAATTCACTATACCTGACTTTTATTTTATATATATATATTGTTTTATATATAAGATATATTGTTCTTCAAGTATTCCTCTTTGTCCATTTGAAATGTTAGGAGGCATGCTAATATATATATATATATATATATATATATATATATATATATATATATAGCATGCCTCCTAACATTTCAAATGGACAAAGAGGAATACTTGAAGAACAATATATCTTATTTATACAGACCGATTTCTAACCACATTTATTGTAGTTTAAAGACACATTACTGTGAGTATTATTGCGGTGGAGCTGTGCTGTAGACTCAGACACATTTATTGTAGTTTAAAGACATACTACTGTCAGTATTATTTTGGTGGAGCTCTGCTGTAGACTCACCAACAAAATGGAGCTCCTAGAAAAGAGGGGCAATTATGATAGAAATGAGTGACAAAGGAATTTGGGAAATAGGAACTTCTCCTCCTAAATAGGAATACTTGGGATTTATGTTTTATTATATGATATAAATTACACTTTAAAAAAAGAAAAAACATTGTACACTAGTGGCACATTAAATTGGATAAAAATGTCTTGGGGGGGGGTGGTGTGTGCGTGTGTGTGTGTGTGTGTATAATATACACAGTGTCCAAGCTTGCTTAACTTTGGTAATTATAGCATCATTAACCAGCACTGAGCACCCACAACCAATTCAGTTCCATGGCTGCCAGGGGTGCAATCCATCTCTGACAGCATCATTAACCAGCACTGAGCACCCACAACCAATTTGAGCCAAGGAGAAAAGGCACAGCTATGTAGACATGAGATTTAGGCTAGAATCCTCTAAGTGACTACCACAAGTTTCAGGTTCATGAGAGCCCTTAAGCATATAGTTTGGGTATATGGAGGGGTAGTGAGTGCTTCTGATGTGTGTGTGTGTCCGTCCCTCCCTCCCTCCCATATCACTTCACTTCACTTACCTCACACACCTCACACTGGTGCCTTCCTCCTCGCAGTCGATCTGACAGCGGGCGGGAAGGTGACGTCGGACGGTGCGTGACTACAGTGGGGAGTGTCGGTGCGCACAATGCGCCTCCTCCCCTCGCTACTATCTGCCCCGGAGCCGCGGCAAAGGTTCAAAAGAGCCACATGCGGCTCCGGAGCCGTGGGTTGCCGACCCCCGCGCTAGATCATCAGTGATTATAAAATACAGAGAACCTATTACCTATTAGTTAGCGCTGACTCTCTATTTTTGATTTTACATCAGTGATTATAGCTCTCCGTTAGGTAGAAGAAGTAAACAAAATCCCTACGAACACAATAGCTTTACAAGATGATTCCCTTAATAAAGCATACGAATCCCCAAACATCAGCCGAAGTCAAGAAGAAGGGTATAACAGAACTGGCTTTTAATGACCACACACTGGCTTTTATGCAAGTCCCTATGCAAGGGGACATCCCACAGGGAGGGACACAGTACAACCAATCATGTACAAGAAAAACGTAAAACACTCCCAGCACAAACATACAATTCCCTCCTCTAGTCCTGGAGATAATCAAGTCTGATAAAGTAATAAAAATAATATTGTGAAGTGGAGCGGTCTTTAACTGCAATACACCCCTATCCCACATGCAGCACAATTAGCAAGTTAAAATATACTTATACTTCTTGCTCAATGGTATCTCAATTGTTGTTCAGCATATACAAGAGAAAAGTAAAAATTATCATAGAACAGATCTGTTATATTGACTTGCACTTCTATAGATAGTGCTAAAGATCACATATACTTGTCAAATCAGCTGAATATTAACAAGTTTATTACAATCATAAAACAGATATCAAAGTTAAAAAGCAAGATATAATAACAATTAAAATACAGATACAGGACAAATCACTGTTTAGTTAACATGTCACAAACAGCTCATTGTGCATCACATAACAAATGTCTAGAGATGGCTACAGAGCAAATAGCTGCTTACTAGAATTGTTGGTGAGTATAACGGTATGTGTACCCGTTTACTCACAGTCAGGCTTTCCCACACTGGGAGATGTCTCCTGTGTTAAAAGGTTGAGGGAGGTCAGATAGAGTTCCTCTATGTTGCCGCTTGGGTGCCGTCCAGTTCAGCATGTAATTCAGCTTTGCCGCTTTCAGAACGCCCGGCTTCCAAATAGGCTCCGCCCCCTTTCTCAACGTGCTTCCGTGTTGTCTACGCGTTTCTCCGTTCACAGACGGCTTCGTCAGGACGTCAAAGTGCTTAGTCCCTCCCCACTCTCGGGGAGTTTTTATACACATTCTCCTAGTTATCTTCATTGTTTTTAGGTGCATCACATTTGCATATGTATGAAATTCGGATCAGCAGATCAATTATTACACCATTAATGCCTATTTCATCCCTACATGGACATCATATACTTCCAACAGAACTGCCCCTATTTATCAACAAATCTATACATACTATAAATACAGTGATATTTAATACAATGATTAAAATTTCATTATACAGTTTAAATCTAAATCACAACTGAATCATCATATATAATACATGGAGGGAAAGAAAAGAGAGCATATGTTAGTATTGATTCAACACCATAAATATAATTTACCTCTATGGTTTTGCAATAATAGTGACTCTTAAAGTGACACAATGATAATATCAAAGTGGAACAAAGTGACATAGTGAAAGGGTACACTCTGAGTGGATATCTGAACTTATTAGAAGAAATGTATCTCCCAAAATTAAATAAATAATGAAAATTAAATGAAAATTAAATTTGTAAAAATAAATAAATAAAAAATATAAAATAAAATAAAATAAAAATAAAAAATTATAAAGTTTATAAAAAAATGACAGATCTCAAAGTCATTATTCATTCCATTTGGAATGAGAGTATTCAGTTCAAATATCCATCTCATTTCTATACGGCCTAAATTCTGGATCAGATTCCCTCCTCTCCAGTCACTTTTAACCTGTTGAATCCCTATAAAATTTAAAAGGGAGGGGTCAGAATTATGAAATTCTTCAAAATGTAGGGAAACTTGGTGTAGTTGATATTTTTTCTTAATATTATATGTATGCTCACATATTCTAGTTCGTAATTGTCTAGTCGTACGGCCTATATATCTCAAGCCACATGGGCAAAGTAACATATAAATTACATTTTTCGTTTGACACGTTATGAGTTCTTTTATCTTGTATGTCTTTCCATTGGCTTTAAACTCTTTAATGTTCTGTTTACCACTATCCGTATTACGACAGGCATTACAATAACCACACCTAAAGAATCCCTTCAATTGATTAATAAAATTAAATTTAGATTGATTTTTATTTGGAATTTTGTCTGTTAAAATTCTTTTCATATTTTTCACCCCTCTATGTACTATTTTTGGGATAGGTGGTAATAATTTTATTAAAACTGGATCTTTTAGTAGCCAGTGCCAATGTTCCGAGATGATTTTCCTAACTAGTTTATTCTGAGGACCTGAAAACTGACAAATAAAGGGAACATCATTTTCTTGTTTCTTATTATTTTCTTTCGTTCTATACTCCAAAAGATTATCTCTATTTAAATGCTGAGTATCTTCTACAGCTTTATTTAGAATATGATCATGATAGCCTCTCTCCTTAAAATCAGACAGAATTCGTTGACTCTGATGTAAAAAAAACTTTTGATCCGTACAGTTTCTTCTTATTCTAGTTAGTTGGCCCTTAGGTATATTAGTAAGCCATGGACTAAAATGGCAACTGCTTATTTCTATATAGCTGTTTACATCGACAGATTTAAAAAAAGATTTAGTCTTAATATTCTTTGCTTCTATATATATGGTGAGATCCAGAAAGTTAACTTCTTTATTACTGTAATCAAAGGATAAGTTCATCCCCCACCGATTTGAATTTACATGCTGAATAAACAATTTGAGTAGTTCTTCCCCTCCTCGCCAAATAAAAAACAGATCGTCAATGTAGCGCCTGTATAGCACCAAGTTCGACTCCCATCCACTATCTCCTCCAAAATGGAGGGATTCCCAACAGGCCATAAATAGATTTGCGTAGCTGGGAGCGAACTTGGTGCCCATCGCTGTGCCACAGATCTGTAGATAAAACTCGTTATTGAACCAGAAAAAATTATTACGTAGAATAAACTCAATAGATTCTAAAATGAACAAAATCTGATTTTCAGGATATAGAGACTTATGTTCCAAATTGTATTTTATGGCTTGAATGCCAAGTTCATGATCAATATTTGTGTATAAAGCCGCTACATCTGCGGTAACGAGCAGCCAATCATTCTCCCATTTTATTTTCTGTAGTTCTTGTAAAATACTAGTTGTGTCTTTCAAATATGAAGGACACGTTTTCACTAGGGGTTGTAATAGATGATCAACATACTCTGAAAGTCTGCACGAGATTGAATTAATGCCCGATATTATGGGTCTACCTGGGGGTTTGGATTTGTCCTTAAGTAATTTCGGAAGGAAATAGAATATTGGTATTTTCTCAAATTTAATCTCTATATATTCTCTTTCTTTTTTACTTAATATCTCTTCCTTATATCCTTTTTCAATTAATTCAACAAATTTCTTTTTTATATCTTGTGTAGGATTTTGGGAAAGCTTTTTATATGTGACCCCATCTCCAAGTAGTCTATTTGATTCTTCTAGATAATATCCATAGTCCATAATGACTATCCCACCCCCCTTGTCAGCTGGCTTAATTACTATACTGGTATCTTGTCTCAAATCTTTCAGTGCTACATGTTCTTGGGGAGTTAAATTTAATTCTGATCTGTTGGAGGGTTTTAGTTTTTGTATGTCTGAGTTGACCATATTTTGAAAGATGGTCATCCCTTCAGACATTAACCATTTGGGATAAAATAAAGATTTTTCTTTTAATGAGGTATGTATTATCGCTTCATTCATTACCTTATATTGTTCATCTATAGCTCTAGGAGTCTCTACATTTTTATCAAAATGTTTTTTCAAACATAATTTTCTTGTGAATTTGTTCAGATCCACAAAAAATTGAAATTTATCCAAAGTTTTGGTGGGGGCAAATTTTAAACCCTTATTGAGTAGCGAAATATGTGCCTTCCCTAACTGTTTATCAGACAGATTGAATATCCCTATTGGCTCTACTTGAGTTTTGTCCATATTTATGCCTCTTTTCGTTCTTTTACCTCCTCTACTTCCCCGTCTACCCTCCTTTTGATTCTTTTGATATAAGT